GCCCTATATACCCTTAACTCCCCACCTGTAGTTTCCTTTAGCCAAGCAGGCAAACGTGGATCGAAGCCGAGAAGAGTGAGACGACTAAGCACTTCCGCTCATGGGGGGTTCCTACAGCCTGAAACGCATAAGAATACGGTTTAGGGTTTACAGGGTTTAGGGCTTATAGGGCTTAGGGCTTAAGAATCTTTATGAACGCTTACGATTGTCAGCACAGCTAGCATAGTAGTCTTCTCCGACTCTGACCCATGCATCGTGCAGCAGTCTAGCCTGCTTCTTGAACCCTATATCACCGCTAAGCCCTTTACCCCAAACCTTAACCCTAAACCGACAGTTTCATCCGTTTCACCACAGGCGAGAGCTTTTGACACAGGACCCTTCATCGCACGGCCAACCATGACCCAGCCCTCAAATTTGGAACTTAAGTCGCTGTCGGAAGCCGAGGGAAACAGATATCAGGGGTAGGTATCCAAGCCTGGTTTGTCTGTTTGGTGGTCATCGTGGTTTCGTTTCCTGAGTTGATCTCATCGGGCTTTAAGGAACAGCAGATGTCGCACCAATGGTTCTCTCTGAGACCAAGACCCAGTACATCGAGCATTTTTGGTGCATCGTCAGACCAAGCTCACGTGTCGTTTCTTCCTCCAGGCTACACTGGACTCCTTTGGTGACTGTCTTGCGGCTTCAGGGCTTCCTCTTTCAGGAATAGGACGCAAAGACTTCAGGCTCGGGTTATGGAGAGTCGCACACTACCTGCAGCAGGCCCCATGGAATGTCCTGTGTTAGATCCTCTTGCTTTCGAGCTACGATGCCCGAAGGAAAGCCTGTGTCGCAGGGACTGGCGGGTTCAGGATTTGGGGCCACTTAGGAATCAGGGGGGTACCTGAAACCTAAACTTTGCTCGGAACAGCAGGCAAACAAGCCGGCCATTCACTGAATCACCGTCGTGTCTGATTGGGTTTCTGGTCCCCGGAGTTCGAAGTTTCGGGCTAATCTCTCCATTACCCTATGTTTCCATGATGGCCTCCATGCGCCAACGGAGGCACGGGTTCAAACCTGCTCTGGAGGTAACCTGCTAGATCGGATTTCTGACCAGCAAGCTCTTATAATACAAAAACTTTTAGCACTACGCATGCATCCAGAAGACTCAATCCTGGATCGTATTGGCACCGTGAGATCCCTACACCCACCGTACAGCTTCTACTAGCCCAAGCCTGAACCCAAACATCGTGCACTCCGGTTCACCCTGAACACCCGGACCCAAAGGCTTCAGGGGTTCAGTAGGTTTACAATACGCAGCAGAAGGACTGTTTGATGGTTTGTCTCCTGGTTGTTTATGGCATTTGACTTTTGAGGTCGGTTGCTACCTTTGAGCCTAAACCCTGCTAGAGGTTCAAGATAGCCAGATAGAGGTGCTGGCTGTTGAGTTTATCCGGCAACACCACGGTCGCCACTTACTTTATGTTTGCTCGGGCCTTGGCATTGTAACAAGTCGTTCTCCATATCATTATTATTACATGATGGTTCTGGCACTGCTCTCCGAGTTCGTCCCCACATGCTGTGCAATTTCACGAATCCAGTCTTGAGAGCAGAAGCTTGAATGTCAGATCCCTATGTCCCGGAAGCCTGAGCGTCAACCTCCTGATCCCAACATCTCGTACTTGAATCACTGCACTCCCGTGCCTTGGAAATCCCAAGATCAGAAGCCCTCCAGCCAGAGAGACAGGCAGACAGAGACAAATAGAGTCGGAAAGAGAGACAGAGGCAAGCAAAGATAGACAGACAGATTGGAACCCGAACTGACACACACGTGTTCTCTTGCCAATTTGTCGGTACATATGTCGTTTTACATACACTTGGACGCCCTATAGTTCCGAGTGGCACCACGAGATTGCGCCAAATCGTTTCTGGCGATGCAGCAGGATCGCCATGGTTGGTACGCAGAGAGCTGGTTCTATGTTGCTGCAGTGCTCCAGCTGATCTGCCTCGGCAAGCTGCTGCGTGCGACATTGCGGAGTCGGAGAGAGATTTGGAACATTGCTCGAAGATGTGGTGGCTGCATTTGGCTGAAGGCAGACCTAGGAGACATGAAGCCTGAGGTGCAAAGGTTAATTGAGAGTAGGGCCGCACAGAGGCGCGTGGCGGCAACCAGAAGTTTGAATACCTTCCTCGTGTTCAGCTACCTTATAGTGTGTCTGATTTTTCAGTGCACCGCAGTGGCGCAGAATGCATTGTTCGTGTCGCTGGAGCTAGCTTGGCTGAGCACTGTCAGTTTGGCATTTTTTGGCTTTGGATACATTTCTCCACGATTGTTTGTCTCGGGTATTCTGAACTGGTGGTACGTGGCCGGCATGGCCCTACACTGCGTTGGAGTGGCACCCAGTTTCGGGACAGTGTACCAAAACTACTTTTTCGGTGCTATGTCGACTATGATATTCCGTCTGCCGGCGGTTCTGGTGTGCACAAAGCCTTGGCTGGTGCTCGCATGCAACATTGTCCCTCTTGTCATGGTCGTCCCGCGGACTCTGGTATATCACAATGTCGACAACTTCAGGGCAGACGGCTGCCCCCGTCGGGTGGGCAGGTTTAACATGATTATGTCGGAGGTGATTTTCTTTTGCCTTGTCAGTTTGGCCGCAATCGTGTTGGAAAGACATCTCAAAGGACAAGAGAAGCAGCGCTTGCTCACGAGCCAAGCCGCAACGGAGCTTCAAGCAGCCTCATCACTTCTCCAGCTGACCTGTGATGCGGTAGTGGAGCTGGATGACAAGCTTCGGTTTGCAGCTGCAGCGCCAGATCTGGAAGCAATGCTCCTGAAGAATGCCCAGGCATCTTCGCTTTGCGGGAAGCGGTTCACCGACTTGATGCCGACTCGTGAAGAGGTTCGCCGGTTTCAGGAATACTCATCCTTTTCCATTTCACGCTTTAGTCAAGTGTTTTGATGTTTCCGCCTTGAGGTCGCCATAGTGTTCCCTTCCATCCGACCTTACCGTGCCGCATTGCATCTTGAAACACCTCACTGCGCTTCACCTTGAAGCACACATGCTCGCATGCAAGTAAGTGTGCATGCACGTGTTTGTGTGCACGAGAGATCCCTCTGTTGCTCGGCTTCGCCGCCTCTGCCAGAGTGCTTCGTGCACTCAGTCCGAGTCCGTGATGGTTGAGTTCCCTGTTTGGCATACTCCGACTTGCAGGCTATCAGCTTGGAGCTGCTACAATGCAGACATACCGTGCGCGTGCATAGGCTATGCTTACATCTATACATACATACATACATATACATACATACATACATACATACATACATACATACGTACGTACGTACATACATACATACATACATACATACATACATACATGTGTGTGTATGTCTACATGATTCTGTAGGTGCATATGCATGCTGTGCTCTCATCTTACGCGCCGTTCTAAGACTATGGCTGCGAGGCTAAGCGGACCGAGAAACTCCTACAGGGAACTGGCGGCTCGGACATCTCAGCCACCGCCTTCCACACGCGCCTGATCGACAGCTGCTTCAGCAAGTTCCGGACGGAAGTCTTCCACGTCAAATACCTCCGTCCCAACCAGCAGGTGGGTTTGTAGCAGACAAGAGAGGTGACAGGAGTGCATAAGTGCAGCCAGCAATCCAGCACCGAAGCCTCTTTAGAAAGGAACGAAGCGATGCCTCCTACAGCTCGAATCTCCAGGAACACCGGTATTTCTCGAGCCGAAGTTTTAACGTGGCGAGTGTTAACTGACGTTGAACTGTACCCAGAGTTTGAAAAGTTTTTGACTCCGGATAATACATACATACATATATATATATATGCATCCATATACACATCCATTAATTCATTCAGTCAGTCAGTCAGTCCGTCAGTCGTTCGAAACATACATGCATACGTACATAGAAGTATAGTACACACAAGCATCTATACATGCATGCATGCGTACATGCATGCATGCGTGCATGCATGCATGCATGCATACTTACATGCTTCCGTATATGTACATTGGTAGGGTCATGCGCGTACAGGCATGCATACATACATACCTACATACTTATGTATGTACGTACACACGCGAGAACAGTAATGCGCTTTGCTCAAACGTTTCGGAATGGTTTCTGCGAAGTTCAATGCCAAGCCGCATCAGTATTCTTCGAAGCTTGACCCTGAACCCGACACTGAACGCTGAACCCTAAATCCTTCCTTGTAAATCTGGGTTTAAACCCCTAGACAGTAAAACCTCCTGGTTGGGACATTCAGAGGTCTGAACGCCGGAAGGCCGAGGAGTGAAATCGTTTAGTCTCCAATGGTTTCGGATGCAAGGGTGCAAGCTTTGTCTGCGTGCCTGCCGACAGTCTCCTTAAATTTGCACGATAAGTAGCTGAATCAGGCTGGAGACCTTAGGCGGAGTGAAAGGGGGGCGTCAGGTCCTTAAAGCGTAGCAATGCTGGCAACAGGCTCTGGGGAAGCTTTAGTGGCCACGTCCTAGGGTTCAGGGCTCAGGGCTTGTGAGGTTTCCGGTTTAGCCGTTGTCCTCGTGAGGTGCGCCACCTGCTCGGACTGAGAGACTTCACGGATCAGGGCTCACTGGCGGGCCGGAAAGCTATGGACAGCTCAGCGGATGCCAGTCAAGGCCGCTCTTGGCTGTGTTTAACAGCTCAAGCCTGTAAGCTTAAGGTACCAGGAGCCTCAAATCTGGTGGAAGCTACCGAAGCCGAAGTCCTCCTAGTTTTGTTCGAACAGACTCCCCCTGTAGTTATACAGATGTTACCGATTGAAGTGTGTGAACTTCCCATACCCAGATCCCAAATCAACCAGATGCCCTCCCCGTGCGTGGTGGTAGCCTTGGTAGCTATGTATCACAGTCTGCCGAACTTATTCCGGTACAGTAACAATCTTACCTGCTGACAACCGCACTGCACTGCTTGCTTGTGGCTGTGAGAGTTTGCTTCTGTTCGGGCTTAGGCAATCCAATCTTGCGCAGCGAAGTTCGCGACGGGGGTTCTGTTGAGAGTCGGTAGCTTATATATATATATAGGCATGTTCTACCGAAGCCTCGTAATTACGGTATGTGCTGATTGTCCAAGATACATGGTACTGTAGGTTTATGCAGTTGCTACCACCTTCGAACCTTAATACACATTTCAGCAAGCGCCGAACTCCTAAACTAAAGCCCAGCAGCAGTTCCTCGTCGCGGTGTATCTATCTCGACAGAATAATTAGCAGAGACTTTGTTGAAGGAATGTTACCGTTTGTTGAAGCGGTCTATTCCTGATCCAAATTTTCCATATCGAGGACTGCTGGAAACAGGCATGCACGACCCGGGCACGCTCAATGTAGATCCACGGCAGACTCGCCCCCTCGATTCCAGTGTGGATTCCAGTGCCGGCGGTGTGGATGACTTCGAGCAAAAGGGTCCACAGAGTACCTTCCTGTACATTGCATCTTGCCTGCATTGGATGTGGTTGAGATGCGGATATATTCGCCCTCTTGGTGTGTTTCTCATCTGGTTCATGCTGGTGATCATGGTGACGATGATGATGATGGTTCAGTGCTGGCGACTCTCAGGAATGCAAACGTTTGCGACAGCCATGGCATGTCTTGATAGATATCATGCAAATAGCACTTGTGATGTCGACGGCGCCGTTGCTTCTGCTGCTGCTGCTGCTGCCGACAACGACGACTGCCACGACCATCACCAGTACTACCAACACTACTACCAATACTACAGCTACTACTACTGCTACTACAACAACAACTACTACTACTACTACTACTCCTGCTGCTGCTGCTGCTACTACTACTACTGCTACTACTGCTATTGCTACTGCTATTG